AAAACATTGTTTAATTTATATTAATATGTATCACTTAAAAAATTTTAATGAAGATATTTATCTTAATTATGAAAATATACTAGCATGTTTTTTAATTTTTGGAACCTAACCCTCCTTTTCGTATTAGTTCTTTGTTTCGTATAACACGGATTCGCATAACACGGCAATTTTTTGGAATGTAACTACCGTGTTATACGGGGGTTACCTGTACTTAAAATTCTTTGAATATAACGTTTTAACATTATACTGTACATATTAATATTGAAAATAAAAAACACACTGAGTGTGGCATTAATATTGGCAATTTTTTGTTAAATTTTATTTTATAAAAATTTCAGTATCTCTATTTTTTTGAATATGATACCCATATTTTCATATTCTTTAAAAAATATTGCTTGATATGACCAGAATAAAATGCTTAAGCATTTTTTCCCTCTTAGTTAGGGGTAATATATTTTAAATGCAAAGAAGTGAAATTATTTTAACATCTTTTACATTCTGATCATGTTAGATTTGTTATCAATAGTTAATAACAATCATTTTTTATATAATTCTTTAACTCCATAATTTCATTGTTACAAATAAAAGATTAAAAATATTTAAAAACTTATAAACTCAGATCAACATCATTAGTTTGAATATTTATATTAAAGAAATCTGCCAATGATATTCAATTTTGTGACATTGTATTTATAATGGAAATCTTAATAAAACAAAATGAATGAACTCAATGATGGAAAAATAAAATTTTTCAGCAATACAATTTCTAGCAAACTCAATTGAAATAGATGAAATCAGTAGCTATAGTAATTTCTTTTTTTTTTTTTTAATAATAAATTCTCATAGTTCTTATAGATAATAATGTTATTTTCATGTGCTCATTTCCAACATGAATTTATTAATATACATTTAATATTTCTCTTCATTTTTTTCAAAAATAAATTTTATCAAAATAATAAGTTTTGTATGACAATCTTGATTTATATTTATCCCAATTTTTTCCAGTCATCATTATTGTGTTCAGCTGCTCCATCAATAACTTAGCATTCTTCACAGTTATAATAATTGATACTATCATTATTAATATTAATATGGTTCAGATATTAGGAATGTATCATTAGAGATTTTATTGTAAAAATTATTTGATATAACTAATCATCCTAACATGTTATAAAAGTATAAATATATATCAAACTTTCTTATATTTCTAAAAAGTTAACATATTACTATACAGCATTTAAGTTATAAATAATAAATACATTTTGCACTATATGAACTTTTAAAATACTATTTTTTAACATGTTTAAATATTTTCATAAAAATTATTTTTTTAAATGATTTATTTTATTCTTTTTGTACAAAATGATGACCATCTAAAATGCAATAATTATCATTTTTATATGTCATTAAATTTTTTTCTCTACACTTTCCTACATAATTATATAATTCAACCACTACAGGTTTAATTGGAGAAAATTTTCCCATAGAAGAAATTTCTTTATCATACATCCACTGTAAAGATCCCATTAAATGAGAATGGCGAATAGGCATACCAAGACTTTTTCTGTATTCAAAATCTTTTTCAGTATCTTTTTTCATGTCTTCTTTGCTAGGTAGAATAATAGAGCCATCCAAAACTTTTAGAAAGAAAATAATTTGTTGGTGAAATATTGGAAAAGGTAGAATTTTAGATATAATACCAATAAAAGCTAATGTTGGAAAATTTATGTGAATTAAATGCTTATATAAAGGGATAATACGTTTTTCTGTAATTTTAAGTCCAACACTGGAATGCAAAACATCAAAATCATAATCATAACCTGTACAAAATAATAAAGCATCTGGCTTATATTTTTCACTATTTAAAAATATTACAGTATCATTTTCAATAAAATCTATCCCTGGTTTTTGGACAGTATTTGTGGGAAATGGAGATTTGATAAATGGCTGATTATGACTTAAAATAACCTACAAAAGAAAAGCATAATATGAAATGAAAATAATTAATGTTTTAATACATTAAAAACTGAAAATATTTCATAATCTTACTTCTTCAGCAACATCAGCTATTTCAATGGCAATGTCACACCCAGATTGACTGGCACCTAAAATTACTACTTTCAAATTCTTAAAAATTTCTTTAGATCGATATTCATGACTATGCATGACTAATTTGTTAAATTTGTCAAGTCCAATAATTTTTGGAATGTAAGGAGAAGAATAATGTCTGAAATACAAAAAATATTATTATTTCTAAAGTATTTTTGTAATATACAACAAATCTGATTTTAATAATCTAAATTAAACTTTCAAATATTTGTAATATGTTTTCATAGCAACGTCAATTGGCATTCTTATTTCACATTTATAATACCAATTGATATGAATTTAATAAAAACTCGAATCTTTCAATAAATTAAAAATATAAAAATTTAAATATTAAATAAGATTAAAATATTTGGGATTAGGAAAGGGTATTTAGACTAACCATATACTTCAATGAAATTTATTATTCTGTAAATGAGATAAAAATAAACAAACAATCTGAATTTATAAGAAGAATAATTTTTCAGACATTCATCAGAAAAAAATCTATGAAATTTATTTTTAATTATAAGCAAAATAATTTACAGTATTTGATTTAGCACTTTATATAGAAGATTTATAAAAAAAGAATGTATGATATTCAGAAAAACTTGCAATTCATTATGAAGCACAATTTATTCAAAACTTAATGCAAAATGATAACATTATTCATGTCAATAGCATAATATATTGGCAACAAATTTGTAAGACTAAATGATACTGAGAAACCTTGTTTGGCAGCATGTTGAACCCTAGAATGAACTCTTGATATAAAGTTTGATCAATAGCTGTTTGGAACTTTGGTCAACTTTTTCTTCATCTTGTTAATCAATCCCTGACTTGACTTTGCATGCCTTCCATTAGTTTAGAACAGTTCTTTATGATAACACCAATAGTGCCTGCAAACTATATAAACAGGCATTATACTATGATTCAATGTTGCATCAGTGTTTCCTCATAGTGATGCTGGATAGCACTCGGGCCTAACTTGGTCTTGGAAACAAGGAATGTGACTTTGATCAACATATGTCAAAGTTGTATGGGATAATGGATCAATATAGTTCATTAGTGTCTTTTATATTTGCAAAATAGGTAAGAAGACATGAATTTTCTGTTGTTTGTTGATAATGGAATTTAGGGTTCCTTGGGGATTAGGAAAGGGTAACCCAGATGAAAAGGAGAGCACATGCCCCAATGTATGTGCATCCCTGCATAAGATGAAAATTGTTCAATTGGTCAGAATTGCAATACATTTAAAGAGTTATTTTCTTCAGGCACAAAATTTGACTGGATCAGGCCAAAAAACATCCTTAGTTATTGTATTAGCTTTTGATCTGGAGTTTTTGTAGTTGTGTGATAATTGATTATTATTATTTTCATGGATCTATCATACAAAGAAATACTTTTTTAAAAGAGTCATCTTTATTGTTTTCAACAGAAATGCATTTTCAGAAATTCAATAGAAATTATATCCTTAATCATTTGAATAGTGTTTTTAGATATAAGTGCATTGAGAAGAGAACAATCTCTTCTCAATTACATAATAAAATCAATTTGTCTTCTCATTACATATCCCATGTCAAGCATAGTTTTATCTGATAACCCATATATCTTTTGACCAATAAGTTGAAACTTGGATTTCTCATTTTCTGGACCCAGGATTTCAAGAAAAAGTGAGCTGTTTCCCAGGATCCCATGATATAATTAATTATTTTTAAGATAACAAGATACTATAACAAGCAAAAATTTAAAAAACTAATAAGCAGACTTAAAATTAATAAATACAAATGTATTCTGATAGTTTATGAGTTAATCATACTTTCTATTTGCAAAATATCTTCAACACCTTAATTAACAAAAAAAAAAAAAAAGTAAACTTTTAAGAAATTGGGATTTCCCAGGTTAAAAAACAGCCGGGATCCCATTAGAGAAACCCTAGTTGAATCTGAGACTAACTATGAAGTACAGTACATATGATCTCTGTAGAATGTTCCAGTTAAGACAAAGAAATAGCATTTACTTTTACATAATCTTTACTCCACACTATATGATATGTACAACTAACTAACTAGAAACAAAGAATGCACAAAGGATATACTATATGTATGGCAAAAACAAAGCAAAGACGGATAGTTGACATAAGATGCAACCACACGATAGGTCAACACATGACAACATACATAGTTTAATACATACCAGACTCAATACCCCTATTATTTGGGTCATCCAAATGTGAGAAGCAGGGACTCCAGTATAACCCTGTTCCATATTCAGGATGGAAATGTAGAAAGAAATATTGGATAAATCTTTTTCTAAGAGTCTTGACACCAGTTAGGATAAATTTAACCATGTCCTAACTCATGATATTGACTTTCCTTAGTGGAAGAAGTATGTCAAAAGTTAACAGGAATTTTAAGAGGGTTTAAATTAAATTGTTGATTATGTGGGATATTTGGGATCGTGGTCTAACAATGGAGTTAGGCACTAATCAAATTAAAATACTATAATTAAAAGATAAATTTATTAATAAGGAATAAACAAAACTATTATACAAATATGATTAAATATTAATGATACAAAAATATCATATAACAAAAATAAATCTCAAAACATAAATATTCCAAATAGGGGATTAGATGAATGACAATCTATTCCCTAGTGCTTTTCTATGAGAAAGAGTTTATAAAATTTATACTACCTGTAATACCTCGATCTTAGACATGGAATGTTGAAAGTTTTTGAAAATGAGTAAAAGTAGAAAACTCATAGAAGGGATAAGAGCATTGGCTAATCGCAATGACAAGAATACTGATGAAAAGCATTGGAAAAAAGCACATTTGAAAGTGACCTCTCATCTTTTATATGAAAATCCCATTCAATCAGATTGTTGGAAATAAGCTCTCCATGCTTCCAATGTGTGATGGAAGTCAGGCAGTCTTGTGGACAGAGCATGAGATATCTCACACGAACTATCACTTTTGGAGGAACTAAATTGTTTTCCTCAAGTTGAAAAGGAAGTTTCCCTTTTAACTTTTTAAATTTTATGATTTATAAATTTTTAATAAAAATTTACCTCAAAAATTTGTTATTTAAATTAAAAATTTAAATCATTAACCCCCAGCTTCTCACACAAGTTTTATATTCATTTTATCCATTTACAACATATAAGAAATAAAAACGGCAACTGTGGATTTTCATACACTCAAGAAACCTTAATAAGCACCAAAAACAATTTAATTTATAATGAGTAATATAATGAGTAATTATTTTTTCTGAAATCATCACAATGCCAGGCTGCAATATTTAATCATATTTTTAATTTATTTAATTTAAAATATATGCTGTTTATCTCAAATTAGTAATGTCTTGTCCCTGTACAGTACATCATACTTTTCCTGTTACAACAGTCATACCAGTCATCTATTTAACTCATTTTGGGGGAATATTTTTGAATTAGTTAGATAGATGACCAGTGTGACTATTGCTAACAGGAAAAATATGATGTACTGTACAGAGGATACTCATTTTCTTCAGTTTTTCTTATTCATTTTTTAAACACTTTCTTTATATTAGTATAAGTACTGGTAATAGAAAAATTCAAAATTAATGAAATTAGCACTTTTCACTTTGCCAAAAATATAGAAATGTTATAAATTATTCATTTTATATTATTACTATTAAGCATCAATAAAAATATTCACTTATTTCATTGCTTTGCAAGAAAAAATATAATAATTCAACAGTACCATTTTTATTGTTTTGTTATTTTGTTCTGGTATTGCAGGATTACAGTTTGTTGTTAGTAAATAATAATACAATAAGCAATATAGTCAGTATTTCATTAATATATAATTTCCAAAATGCATATTTATGTATACACATTTACAATATTTAAAAGAATTTTATAAATAATGTCATTGAATATTTGTAAACATTCCAATTTGGGAATTTCAAATTGTATAATTTAAAACCTGAAGCAGGTTTATAAAATAAACCAAAAATGTATGTTATGCAAACTCTTTGTGCTGGAAAATTACACAAGGTATTGATTTTCTTATTAATATTGATACCATTTTCTTCATGTAAATATATTGAAAATTTTTGAATCAAAAGAACTTTATGAAAACTTTATAGAATACTGAATATTTTTTTGAATGTGTACTTTATAAAGATTGTTTTCTTTTGAATCTAGTAATGATAAAATTTTTTATTCTAAAACATAAGAATAATAAATTGTTCTTTATATTATATATTAACAGACTATATAGTCGTGTCCACTTAACAGAGCACTGAATAAGGGAACAGTTCATTAAAAAGCTCTCTTACACATTTCCCTATGTTTTACATTAGCAGATTCCTGTTAACAGAGCATTGGATAGCAGAGCAGTCCACTTAAATGAGCACCATGTTGCCAGCATTTTTACAGCAGTAGTCAATATATTGGAGCACTAGTTTAAAAAAGATTTATAAGGATCTATCTTTAATCTTATAATACATCACCACCTAGGAAGTGTGGAAACAAGGCTCTCTACACTAATGTCTGTTGAGGTTTGGCAAAACCTTCCATTGATCAATTTTCTAATAAATGTACAATAAAAAGATTTCTCACAGAATTGTAATGAACACACATTGGTTTTATTGGACACACATCTGACAAGCAATTACATATTAAAAAGGTATCACAAAATATATATGAAAAAACAAGTTTCACATGTATGTCCCCATCTTGAGGGAATGAGGCAAGAAGTGATTAGTAACTAGATTTTGGAAGTCATGTGATGTTATTTTAATGTGGTACTTTACTTATTTGTTTTTTTATAATAGGTCCCATTAGAGACCATTCAGAATTTTTGGAGCAAGGATATTCATATCTTTTCAGCTAAGTCTATTGTATTTCTGGAAGAAGTGAAAGTAATGTAACTTGTAAATCTATTGTACTTACTGATTATTCATTAGAAAAATAAAACTGATGATATAAGAATGGAAATGAATATGATGTAAGTACAGTAAAATTACATGATAATGAATTTTAATGTTTCCAAATTTGTCAAAGTTACAGAGAGCTCTTAAGACATGAAAAATGAAGAGAATTGACAACTCCTGGGTGATCTTGTTATCTTGGATAAGGGAGCATGATGCAGTTATCCCAAGGATGCTTAGACAGACTTGACAAGCAGTTTTATAAAACTTTCTAATTACCTTGATATTTTCAATTAATCAATTAAAGAATAATATCAAATTTTAACATAAGCATTTTATGTTTTTAATGAAACATTTTTATTTTTCCATTTTTATCTCATTTCATTACATTGTAAACAATTTCTGTAATTAAGCTTTTATTTAAAAAAAACAAAATAATAATCAGTTTTGTTAAAAAATAAGCAGTTAAAAAAATAATTAATGTTACACTTTAAAGAAAACTTGTTTTTAAATTTTATTTAAAACTTAAATTTTAATAAAAATATAAACTTGACTTACCCATTGCACATCATTACTGCATCAAAAGTATTTTCTTTAATGGAATTTGAAGGCATATGATGGCTTTTTATTATCCAAACTATTTTATTTTCTATTTTCTTTGGTTTAATTTCTTTTACACAGGAATTAAGCTAAAAAAATTTAAATATTAATATTAAAATACATTGCAATACATTAAATATTTTTTAAAATACAAATAAACAGATTTAATCAGCAAGTTTTTCAAATATTTGAAAATATTATAATAAAATTTAACTATGTTGTTCATTTTAAAAATTTCCTCCTTTAACCACTAATGTGATTAATTAAATTACTTAAATTAAATAACATTAACTTCAATTTAAAAACTCATTTTAAATTTTAATGAGTTTGTCTTTACATCAACAGAAAATTAACTACTTTTATTTAAATTTAATCTATTTCAAAATTAAATTACCAATATTTAACTAGTATGATCATAAAAATAACTTATTACAATTACATATTTTGTATCTAATAATTTTCTGAGTTTTTCCATTAAGTATCTATAAGAAAATTTTAATGAAATTGTATTTACATTAAAAAGATATCAAATAAAACCTAATTTTTCAAAATGCAATGAAATTTTATTTTATTTCTAGTTTAATAAACTTTATTTATTTAAATACTGCTTGTTTCAAATCATAAAACTCAAATTCTAATAAAATGAGGAGGGGGAAAAAGCTTATTTTTGGAAACCAAATTAAATTTTTATTCAGTAATATTTTTGTTCTTTTATAAGATCATCATCAGCTGTGTAAAAATTATCAAGTGTGTTAAAACAAAAAAATGCATTCAAAAGGAAACATCTTTTCATTCAAACTTTTTTCAAATTTAAAATCACAAAAAAGTTATTATTTAAAAACCAATAAAATAAAGCAAAATCAACTTTTCTTTATAATTTTAAATTTGAAAAAGTTTGAATGTAGTTCTCTCTTTTAAATGTATTCATTTTAATACACTCGATGGTTTTCACAGCTGATGATGCTTTTATAAAAGAACAAAAACATTACTGAATAAAAATTTAATTTGGTCTCCAGAATAAACATTTCCCCCCCTCAACTTTTTGAATATGGAGGCAAGTTCAAGTATTATTTTTTTAAATTCTTATATTGCATACCATTAGAATCAAACATAGAAAATTAAAATAATTTCATTTGTAAAAATTTTATATTCTTAAAAAATTATTAAATAAGATTGCTATCATGTAATTACAATGAAATATGAAAATAAATTCGATTTTTTAATACAAGATATTTCACAAATGATACTCTGAGATTGTTGTTAATGTTTTAATCAATTATTTTCATTTGATATTTATTAACATATTTAAAATAAAACATTAGAATCTGATGAATATTTATCATAAATTAATTAACAACAATCATTATTATTGTTCTTACTATCTATAATTTGTCTAGTCAAGTTGATTTTATTTTATGAAAAACTGTTCTTCATTTTGAGGTTTTTTAGAATGATTTTTAAATCTGTTTTAAATTGATTCAATTTTCTATATCATAATTTTTCATATAGAAAATTAAAGAGATTAGTTATATTAAAATAACAAATATCTATCTACTAGCAGATGAGTCCAGCACTGCTTGGATGGAAAGTAATGATAAGAAACATTAATGATTAAGATTATTAGATTATAGCCTATCTTACCCATTGTCAATTAGGTTCCCCCTCTTCCAAAACTAATTAGAAAATTTTTAGATATCTGCATACTACTCTGGGATAATGATAATTAAGATTCACAGCAACCATTAATCGGTGCATAGTACCACTAAGTGATGAATAACAAATGTTTTCATAACTCTGGATTCTTCTTCATGTTTACTAAATTCAAAAAATAAGCTGGATCTTCCTGAATCATTCATAAATATAAATTTGAACATAAAATCAAACAAAAAGTCAAATCAAACAAAATCAAACAATTAGTTCATAACTGTTAACCAATATTTCGGCTAACTTATAACTATTTTTGTATCAGCACCCTGTTCATCATGTTACCATGCAACGTTAGGAAGAAACATTACTCCTGTCCACATTGATAATGCTTACTGCTCATACAGTCATGTTGACGGTTTCATCTTTATATTGTATAGCTTTAGGCATATTTTTTAGTTTAATTTTAAATTTAATATTTTTTTCACCTTGTATAATTTTAAGTATACTAAGACCTGTTGCTATCACCAACTGATGAGGGACTATTTTCCCATTGGAAAATAGTCCGAAATGCATTTTGGATTTTTACGGTTTTTATACTTATGTAATCATCTTATTGTACAACCCTATTTATTTTATTAAATTTTTTTACTTTGATTTTTGAGCGTTTGTGCCCTTTGTCATTGGTGTGATAAGCCCTTCCTATTATCTACCTTATGGTTATAGATATTTTAATTAATTAATTTAATTATATTAAGGGCTAAAAGCAATTTCTGCAATAAAATCAAACATTAAGATGAAGAGTTTGAATAAAGCAAATTTATTCACATGCACTCCCCATGTCAACTTTATATACAATGGAACACTAAATATCGTTAAGAATTTTTAGAAGGGTGGTCTAAAATTATGTTCAATTTCCTGCATAAATGCAAAAAAAAGACATTTAATACAGTAGAAGCCGAGTTCTTCAGGGTAATCCTTAACCCTCTCTCTCCCCCATGGGGAGAATTTCGAAAAATCCCTTATTAGTGTATGTTCTCATGATGTACCCTAACTGTGTACCAAATTTCAACTTTCAACTCCTAACTGTTTGGGCTATGTGCTTATTATCATCATTTTCAACCAATCTCAATTATATTATAAGATTTAAAGAAATCTACTTTCATTTATTGTTATATATTTTTGAAGACAATTCATTCAGAGTTGAGCATTAGAATTTAAATCATTATATGCCTTAGTAAAAATATCATTTGAAATCATTTATCATTAGCAAACGATAAATCATTTCTTACCAATTAGCATCAATTGATAACATCAGAAATCATTTGCTAGTGAAAATTATTTGAAATGATAAGAGTTGATGCCAATTGGTAAGAAATGATATTTAATGACAACAAATGGTAATTCCTTTGCAATCATTTACTTTTTGGAAGAGAATGTTAAATGATGTAAGTGATATTAATTGTTACCTAATGATCTTGTAATGTTTTCACATTTTTAGTCAGAATACATAAATCAATTGATATTAATTATCATCATTTAACGGATGATCAAATAATATTTAATAAAGGATTTGTTTATCAATAATAGAGTTGTGTTATTTGATTTTATATTACTTCACATTGTAAATTAATTTGACATATTTGAAAAGTAGTATTTAGCATATCATTTGATATCAAATGATCATTTAAAATTGTTTTGTCAATTGACAATAACTGATATCAATTAGTCATATGAAATTGACCAAGAAATAATTTAATAACTAGCATAATTTCTTCAATTGATAACTCATATCATTTGGTAATTGAAATGGTCCAAAAACTATTTCATATCATATTAATATCAATTGTTATCATTTGAAAATGAATGTAAAATCCGGAATTTTTACCGAATTTTCCGATTAATATTCCGCATTTTTCTAAACGCCCAATTAAATTTTCCTTTAAATTCAAAACTAAAACCTAACTAAAAAAAGGGAAAATTCCGATCTCCCCTTTCGTTCAAAGTAAACATCCGTCCATTTCGAAAACAATCCCACATTCCAACTCCTAAGTTGATAGTTAGCATGGGCCTGGGGACAACTTTGATCCATCCACATACCTTTTACCTTACAACAAGTGGTCACATGACCGTTCTCCCACAACGAAACTATAAAAGCCACTTGCTTCCCCCTCTCGGGGGAGTCGTTCATCAGCCACCAACCATAATTTCCAATATTATATCCTATTGAATACTGTATCCTATTTTTATATATTGTGTTCTGAGAATTCATTGTCCTTATCCTGCCAGTTCGGACCCATCTGGATATCAAAATCATTTTCCTCAAGGATAATTAAAAGACAAAGAGGTATGGAACAAATTTTTGTGAACTCTCTCTCGGCCCTTTGCGTTTTAGGGATTCAGATTTTTCCCTTGAAATTAGTTATTGTACTATCGATGTAGCTAATAAATCGTTATCTTGTTAAATTGGTGTCCTCTTTTACTCGTATATCGCCTGTCATCTTACCGATGGCACTCCTCCCTCCGCCACTCAACCTGAAACATAAAATCCCGTTACAGCGGGAAAAGGATAAACTTTCATCCATCCTGACAGTGAGAAGGTTTAACAACCTGTTGCCGGATCGGGAGACCTACACCCTCCCGGTGGTTCACATAATAAAATGATATTTTTACTAGAGCAGGTACAATAAAATATTATTTAAAATTATTTTTAAAAAATATATACACATGAAGTATGTCCCATTTTAATTAGTTACCCAAAATATCTCAAAAATATGCATTTTATAAAAAAAATATTCTAGACTGAAAACGTTTGCATCAAGATCAATACAGTCTACCCCCCTATAATTACGGTCCCTATAATTACGATTCCTATAAAACTACGAAAAAATATACGTATTTTGGAAATGTTGAGTCGGATTAGTGTAGAATCGATTAATTTTATGGAAGAAAACCTTTCAATCAGCCGTAGTCCGTAAACTTGACACGTGTCGGGCTGTGATTGGAACGACTTGTAAGAAATCGGATTCCTAATAAATTGGAACGTATCTATATCTTATAGGGGGGTCGACTGTATCTCTTTATCACAAGCTTGACAGCTTCAATACATTGTGGCACTAGTTTTTGTATCAGTTCATTATTTGAAGAAAACAAATGTTTCTACCAAATAATGATAGTTTCCTAAAATTATTTTAATATTTTCTTTCCTTTTTTCAATGAACTTTACAGATATCCTTAGATTCACACAGGCACTGTGTGGCATCTGCATAAAACTTCAAACACTTATAACTTCACATTGTATACAAGAGTTAATGTGATGGTTTGAGGCATATTTAGCACTGCAGAAAAATTACCTTAAGCTTTTGTTTCAACAAGAATGAATGACTCAGATTATTAATCAATGCTTGCCAATCACCTTCTGCTATTTCTTCAACCACACCAGCATATCTCCTTAAAATTTCAGCAAGATAATGCAAGCGTCTACTATGCCAGTGGTTGGTTTCAGAATAACAGTATTGAGGTTCTGGTTAAAACTCACTGTGTTTAGCGTTATTACTCGTTTTTTCGTTCATTCGAGCGCTTTCGACGAATATATATTTCCGTCGTCTTCAGGCGAATAAAATGTTTTAATCGAACATGAACGTTCGATAGAAGAACACATAAATTTAAAATTAAATAATTTTCCATTCGATTCCGAAACGGTTTGAATTACGTGCGATGTTACGAATATGATGTAATACGGCGCATGCGTGGTACTGCTTCCTGTCAGTGATGTGACATATGATGTAACTTGCCGTTTAATCGCTTGTATAGGGCGATCCATATATTTGGCAGCTCCAGAGTAGGCGTGTTGCACGTTTCAAATGATGTTATATATAGTGACTCCCATATATAGAGTAGTCTTCGGTCGTTGCATGCCCTGATTATGGTGGAGTGGGCCCATAATGGGTTATAATTCATGTCGCACACTCTTCTTGCGAGCTCAGTGCTGCACCTTCTTTTTGCTATATCATCTTGGTGTTCGGTCAGGCGGGTAGCCAACATTCTTGCTGTGGCCCCAATATATCTCGTGCTATTCCCCGTTATAGGATTTTCTAACGGAACCGCATAAATTCCTGACTTCTCAAGGGTGGAAAGCTTGTCTCGGTCATTGCAGAGCAATCTGCGCAAATTAGGTAACGGAGACAGGGGCAGGAGCAGATCATGTTGTTTAAATATGCGGCAAATGCGTAGAGAAAGCGGACCGAGGTATGGTAAAGCCGGTTGTACGTGTATAACTTCCCTCCTGTTAACTAACAGCATAGAGATTGGAAATAGCGTCTTCTTGACTTTGTTGAGTACATGTGTGTACTTAGCACGTGAGAAACCTGCTGCACGTACTGCTAAACTAATATTGCTTAATTCACTGTTTATGAGATCTTGTGTTGATGGCAGCAAAAACGCTCTTCTTAGTAGGGCGGCTATGGCGGCATCCACATAACGTGCGGGTTGGAATGCATTTGCCGGGATGATGTACGGTAGCATGTTAAACTTATGTTGAACTGAAAAAAGTAATGTTTCTGAGGTTCTCCGTACGCATAGATCCAAGAAAGTTATAGCCGCACTACTTTCTTTTTCCCACGTAAAATTGATGGAGGGATATACATTAGAGACATGTTGCATGAAGGTGCAAAAGGCTTCATCGGTGCCCTCCCAGGCTATGAGGATATCATCCACATATCGTATATAGAGCAGTGGGTAAAGGATGGTAAGAGGGAAATCAAATGTTCTATGCTCAATTTCTCTCATGACGAGCTCTGCTAGGATGGCAGATAAAGGGGAACCCATGGGGACTCCTTGTTTTTGTAAATAAATTTTTTGATTGAAACGAAAATAATTGTGTTCCGTGATGAAAAACAGCGCATCACGTATATCCAATATCTGCTGGGCACTAAAGCCCTTCTTAAGGAGTAGCGAATTGACCAGCATTACAGCTTCAAACGTCGGCACCGAAGGATACAAGGCCACCACATCTAACTTATAGAAGGTATAGGTACTTGTTTGCACTGCACCAATGCTTGCAGTGATGGTAGTTTTGGTGGCCAAGGATGAGGGAGTAACATACATTGAATATGGAATCAACGGCTCAAAAAATAACCTAGGACATGCAACATTGGGCGGGGGGTCAAGACATCCAGTTAGTGACGATACTATTACTGGTAGGGCAATGATTCTCCTTGTTTTCCGTAGGATCGTTGGTGTGGGATCCTCACTTATTACCGTGGAACAGGATTGGCAAAGAAACTCGTTGGCTCTAAGGAGAAAATCGTCTTCTTTACACAGCACAAACTTTTTGTCTTTGTCCGAGACTAGAAGCCTTGAGTCAGATTTAGCGAGGTAGCGTGCAACCGCTTGGCAGTCTATGCAGTGTCTATACTCGTCAGGCGTTTGTTTCGCTGATGCAAGCTTCGTAATTATCGATACCTCCATTTGTGGATACTTGGTTGTTGCCTGGCACGACTTGAGTGCTGCCAATGATGCTGTGACCAACTGACCAAGTTTGGTGTTAGGAGGAGGGATGTACTTGGGCCCACGTTGCAGAACTTCATGTACCGCGGTAGGCGGATATCATAATCAAAAACTATTTCATATCATATTAATATCAATTGTTATCATTTGAAAATGAATGTAAAATCCGGAATTTTTACCGAATTTCTCATAGCCTGGGAGGGCACCGATGAAGCCTTTTGCACCTTCATGCAGCATGTCTCTAATGTATATCCCTCCATCAATTTTACGTGGGAAAAAGAAAGTAGTGCGGCTATAACTTTCTTGGATCTATGCGTACGGAGAACCTCAGAAACATTACTTTTTTCAGTTCAACATAAGTTTAATATGCTACCGTACATCATCCCGGCAAATGCATTCCAACCCGCACGTTATGTGGATGCCGCCATAGCCGCCCTACTAAGAAGAGCGTTTTTGCTGCCATCAACACAAGATCTCATAAACAGTGAATTAAGCAATATTAGTTTAGCAGTACGTGCAGCAGGTTTCTCACGTGCTAAGTACACACATGTACTCAACAAAGTCAAGAAGACGCTATTTCCAATCTCTATGCTGTTAGTTAACAGGAGGGAAGTTATACACGTACAACCGGCTTTACCATACCTCGGTCCGCTTTCTCTACGCATTTGCCGCATATTTAAACAACATGATCTGCTCCTGCCCCTGTCTCCGTTACCTAATTTGCGCAGATTGCTCTGCAATGACCGAGACAAGCTTTCCACCCTTGAGAAGTCAGGAATTTATGCGGTTCCGTTAGAAAATCCTATAACGGGGAATAGCACGAGATATATTGGGGCCACAGCAAGAATGTTGGCTACCCGCCTGACCGAACACCAAGATGATATAGCAAAAAGAAGGTGCAGCACTGAGCTCGCAAGAAGAGTGTGCGACATGAATTATAACCCATTATGGGCCCACTCCACCATAATCAGGGCATGCAACGACCGAAGACTACTCTATATATGGGAGTCACTATATATAACATCATTTGAAACGTGCAACACGCCTACTCTGGAGCTGCCAAATATATGGATCGCCCTATACAAGCGATTAAACGGCGAGTTACATCATATGTCACGTCACTGACAGGAAGCAGTACCACGCATGCGCCGTATTACATCATATTCGTAACATCGCACGTAATTCAAACCGTTGCGGAATCGAATGGAAAATTATTTAATTTTAAATTTATGTGTTCTTCTATCGAACGTTCATGTTCGATTAAAACATTTTATTCGCCTGAAGACGACGGAAATATATATTCGTCGAAAGCGCTCGAATGAACGAAAAAACGAGTAATAACGCTAAACACAGTGAGTTTTAACTACTAATTAATGTTACTTGGCGTGAATAGCATACTAGCCTATATTGAGGTTCTGGATTGGCCAACATGCTCTCAGACCTCAGTCTGATGGAAAACCAGTAGGGAATTCTTCTGAGCAAAATATACACAGACAATCATTCTTTTACATCGATTGAACACCTAAAAATATGCTTCTGAAGACCTAGGAAGAGATGGGTATGAATACCTTACAAAATCTTGTTCAGAGCATGTCTAACAGAAAATTTCAATTAATAAATAAAAATTAACACCTAACCAATTATTAATACTAATGTTTCATGACTTTTATGTCTTTTTTCTTCTGATGTTGAAAATAGACTTAAAGTGTCTATATTTATGTACCTGTAAAAAGCACTTTATGATTAAAATAAGCAAACAATTTGATATAATTTTTTTAATGGTACTTACATAACTCATTTACTTATTTATTTTAGGTGTGTTATTGACAATTACTTATCAGTAGATTAATAAACCTAGTCTGCCTGTAATGGCACAAAGGTGTCTATATTTATGTCAAACACTGTATTATAAATTATAGTATAATTTGTGTTCCATTATATATCAGATTCTTAATTTGTATATTTTCTGTATATTGATAGACCACAATGTTGCTATAAAAAAGTAGCTTTCATATATAGAAAGGCTGTGCAGTCCTAACTTTGATCCCTTTAAGCTCTGGCATGAAGTACAGATATCTCTTGCTTAATATGATTTTGCTTGACATAGGATGTGATTAATGTGCAAAATTAATTGCAGCAATCCCTTTATATACATAGCAGAAGTTTTAATTTATGTGGCTTTACCAGCTGTCTTTACATAGATACCATATTTTGATTAATACAATTTTGATATATGCAGTAGGATCAATAGATTAATTAACTGCATTAATCAAGGATACCTGTACTGCATATTTTAGAAAAGTAAAAGTATAATACTTACTTCAATATATTTACTTAATTGATGATGCTGTGCATAATTTCTTAAATATTTTAAAACTTCAGAATGATGAATGAAAGATTCTCCTGTAGATGGAAATGGAAAATCAGGATATCCCATTATTTCTTTAGGTAAATTGGTCCTATAATAAAAAAAAAGTAAATTTAAGAATTTAAATTATATAATTCCCTTGATATGAAATATTTTAAATGAATTTTTACGATTCCAATAGAAGTACACTTTTCTCTTTAAACATTATCTGAAAGTTAACTAAATATTGAATAAATACAATTTTTTTTTTTTGTAAAATAAAATGCAGTGATACCTCAATTTTCATCGATAATCCATCCAAAAAATCCAAAACCGACAAAAACTGAGGCAACTATTTCCATATGAATCAATGTAAATCCAATTAATTCATTCTAGACAATCCAAAATACATACCAAAACACATTTTATAGAGAATAAAATATAGTGTTTAATACTAAAAACAATAAGAAATTAATATAAAATGAATATAAAAGACTAATGTAAAGAATAAATGAACATTTAACATGGAATTCAAAGGGCTGCTGGCTCTGAAAACTTTCTTTGGTTCTGTGATAGAGTTAAAAGGAAAGAAATTGGAATTGGCTACATATGCGGTGTAATGCTCACAATGCAGCACTGAGATGAGAAGCGAGAAACAACACAACAAAAAACAATGCCATACTGAACAGGAAAATGCATGGGTCATCCTTTGTTTTCACAAAATTAGTAGCGTGGTCACATGGACACGCCAATGAAATCCAAGGCAACCAACGAAAATCAAGACAAATTTTTTTGCAGAAAAATCAACAAAAACCAAAACCAATGATAACAAAGTCAACAAAAACCAAGGTATTACTGTAATACAAAATATATTTCCTAATAAACTATTTTATTTGTTGTAAACAACAGACTTCAAGTTTACTTTTATGACTATACCAGCAGATGAACCCAGCGTTGTCTGGGCCAAAAACAACAACAAAAATTAAGATTATTAGATTATTTCATACTTCTAATCCTTCTATTTTAGTATCCCGGAATGCCCCCTCGTGGGCGTTCTAGCAGCAGTAGTGTCATTCCATGGTATAAATAATAAATTCCTATTACAAATATAAATAATAATGTACCGAATTTCTCATGGCATACCCTACTAAAACACAGCCAAAATTGCAAAAAAAAAAAAGCATCAAATAATAATATACTGAATTTATTGCTAATTTAAATAATAGCTAGGGCCATTTTATGGCATACAGTGACATCGTAGGAGGTGGTGACAGGCCGCACTCGTAAGTATAGCCCCAGAATCGGAAAAGGAAGGAAGAAGAAAGTTTGTTTGAGTAGGGGGTAAGGTGAAGGTGAAAAGATGTGAGATAGGATAGTTGAAAGTTTTTGAGGTATTCATGGGTGCCTGCATCACATTTATTTGGAGTGTAAACTGAGTACTGTACATATATTTTTACAAAGATGAGCTTACTTAATCAGTGGTACATAATTTTGTGGCGCAACAATAGAGAACTACAACTGTATTTTGCGTACATAATACAAGTTTGTATAGCTGACATAAATTTGTACAATGCCTTATGCATGTACCGTCCACAGTAGTAACATAAGGGTAGGATCTCGTTAATTGGCTACAGAAGGTATTAGGTTACTTTAGAAGGACATTACATTGCTGAAATGTCAATACTGTACCAGATACTGTATGTGAAGCTGCAGCTGGCCCATGGGGAAACAATAATATGCACTGCTTGGAGCATGTAATGGAAAACGTGTTACTGTACAACCGACAGAACTTACCATTAAGGATGAGTGCCAAGAAAGTACTTACAAAGCGTTACCAAGAAGACAAAGTATTAACAGTGATAAAAACAGTTGAGCTGGATTGACCGCTAAGACGATGTTACACCGTGAAAGATTTACCAACACAAAGATCATACATGTAAGATGGAACTAGCACTGAGGAACAGCATAAACGCCCACAGGGACACTCAGTCTAGAATATTAATGTCCGTTGCAAAAGTCCTCAGTGCTTTGTAGATATTCCTGTTGTTTACCAGGTTTTACCATGACATGGCCAAAGTTCATTTTCTTTGTGGACCGTGCTTATTAGTACCTTCCGCTGTGCGTTGTACATTGGTCAGTGCCAGATAACATGTTCTGTGTTTTCATCTTCGTGGGGGGAGCAAGGACACTTGCCATTGGTCTTCCACAAGAACTTATTAAGGTAACTGCAAAAGTTACTGTGCCCAGTGAGAAATTGAGTGACCTGGAATGTGGGGACAAGATGCTTGAAGTGGCTCCTCCGGAAGACTTCGGGATGAAGTTATAAGTCGTCCTGCCTTTAGAGCTGTTGTCCCACTTTTCTTGCCAGCACTTCCATGAGTAGTTGCGAATGCTCTGCTTTAGCCATGCAACCGGGGTGCCTCCGTAGAAACATCTGTGTCCAGACTGGCGCCGAGAGGCCAAGAGATCAGCCCTTACATTGCTCTGAAAGCCAGAGTGCCCCTTCACCCAGGTAAACTTGATGCTTAGACTGTCCCTTAGTGTGAGTAAAAGGCCGACACTTTCTTGAATTATTGGCACTTCAGTGTTTAATTTCTTCAGTTGCAACAGAGCAACTAGGCTGTCACTTAGGATTGTAACCCTAGTNGAGGTAATAGCAGCCGTGGATGCGTATTTCGACAGTCTTCCGGATTCTCACTTTAGGGATGGAATCCATAAATTAGAAGATCACTGGAACAAGTGTATTGAAGTTCAGGGAGATTATATTGAATAATAAAACGTATTTCAAACCATAAAATCGTGTTTTTCTTATCGAACGACAAAACTTATTGAACAACCTGGTATTAACATAAAAGCATCAGAAGATGAAAAATGTTAGGAATTGAAAAAAACTCAAATTATTAGTACCGATACATTTCAAATTATTTTTGCAGTTGAAAGCTGGACACCAGTTAAAAATATTAGTTTTTAAATCAAATCAGGGAAAAAATTTTTTGCTTAAAACATCCACCATACAGCAACTACAGACACTCTCTTTCAATATGATGGATTGGACATGCACATTAAATATTTATCAAGCTAATTAGCTTGGAGTGTTGCTTCTATATTCAAAGGTATTTATTCTGTGCTATTTACAATTTAATATATGAAATATGTGTACATCTGTAAATAACATTGAAAATATATAAAAACCTGCAATTATTTGAAAGCATAATTGTAAGTTTAATAGTAAGATAAATAAAATAAGAATATTTCAAATAAGCTCTGAAAGCCAGAGTGCCCCTTCACCCAGGTAAACTTGATGCTTAGACTGTCCCTTAGTGTGAGTAAAAGGCCGACACTTTCTTGAATTATTGGCACTTCAGTGTTTAGTTTCTTCAGTTGCAACAGAGCAACTAGGCTGTCACTTAGGATTGTAACCCTAGTTATATTTTGAGCCTCCTTGTTATCCGTGATCCAAAGTAAAGCCTTGTGGATGGCAAAAGACTTGGTCTGGTTGAAGGTGCAGTGACTGGCCAGCCTAAACCGAGCCTGATGGATGTATGTGTTGTTGTATGTCACAACAGAGCACCCCACCCCCACATCAGATTTTGACCTGTTGGTATATATACAGAGACCGTCAGGGGCATCGGCACCCTCTAGAGTGAACAGTTCATCAATAGTGGTGTTAGGATGGTGGGCAAAATGCCAGTGATTGTAGTCCAACTTGTAGATGAATGTTGCTGCTGGGCCCACTTCAATTTGACTTATGATTTTGTTAAAACAATCAGTTGTAATAGTCCCAGTGGCCAGCTTTAGCTGATGGAATGTCCAAACTCTCTTTTATGACTATGTCTATTGGTAGTAAGTTAGCAATTGCCAGGAGTGTGTCAGTTGGGGCGGTCTTGTAGGCTTTAGTTATTGTAATGAGGGCAAGCCTCTGAGACGAAAGGAGCTTCCTTTTTATGTGAACCTTGATGATTGAAGTCCCCCAGACCTCCGAACCATAGGTCAGGATAGGCTCTAGGACCATGATGTATATAGCCAACATACAATACTGTCATACCCCCAGTGATGGCGGGCTATAGAGGCCAGGGAGTACATTACTGTGACTGCCTTTTCGTACATATAATAAACATGAGGTTTCCAAGATAGCCTGTTGTCCAGAAGCACGCTTAAGTTCTTGACCTTGTCACTGTTCTTAATTTGGCGTCTGTCTAGACCAGTGTTTCTCAACCTCTAACGAATCATCGTCCCCTTCAATAAAACCGTTATGTAGTATTGCCCTTTTCACTACAAAATTCCAATGCCGAGGACCAAAGCTAACGCCAAATTCATATTGCATTGAATAGATTAGTGACTAGTATAATGTTATTTGTTTAATTATTGAACTGTATAACGAATAAAATATCTAATTATTATTAATATAATGTTTTACTATATCACCCAGAAAATTGTTTTTCACCTCCCAAAATATAAATTGTTACTAATCGCCCCCTCAACATGGAATAATGCCCACATGGGGGCTATATTGCCCCCATTGAGAAACACTGGTCTAGTCTGATTATGGGTCCCTTGTGTAGGGGGTAGCCCTAGGGAAGACTACACAGCTACATTTCTCTTAGTTGATTTTAAGCTTCTTCTTGTGACACCACCACATTGAGATTCTTTGCAGAATATCGTTGGCCCTAGCTTGCAGGACTGCCTGATTCCAGCGTATAAGTGCCAGAATAGTGTTGTCTGTGTAGCCCTGTAACCTGCAGTTATAATCTGCTGGTATTGATTGAGGAGTTTAAATTCAAGAGGCTGTTGTACATAATATTCCATAGGAATGGCCCGGACCTTGAGCCCTGTGGACAGCCCCTGTTGATGTCCCTATGTAGATAGATGTGGTTATTGCTGGTCACTACTATATTCCTATTACTTAGGTAGCTTTTTACTAGAGCATAGATGTTCTTGGGGCACCTGGTTCCATTAATAGCCTCTAGGATCATGGGCCACCATGTGTGATCGAAAGGGTCACCATGGTGTGCTCACCCCTTTCTTTAGCTTCCCGTATGACGTTGACAATAGATTCCAATGCAGTGATTGTACTTTTACCCCTTCTAAACCCATATTGATTGCTGTTTAGAC